TCTGAGCTTCCTAAAATTCATCACCCTATTTTAAGATGATTTGCATTTCTTTAACAATCAAATACAGCAAGAGAAAAAAATAAACACAGACACTAACACTGTGCACCATGTTTTGTCTGTCTTTGTGCTGTCTTAGAATAGGCCATATTTAGTCCATGAAGGCCTGCTTTTCAATGTAACAGATATAAAGAACATGTATTCAATGTTTTATGCATTTTGATTTACATTTTAATTCACCAACAATTTGTTCATTACTAGTTGCTCATTAATCGTGTAAGTTACCACACGCAGGCCCAAAACAATTTATCATATATAACACTGATTAATGAAAAAATTATATATTTGATGTTAGATACATTTGCATATATATCTGCATACCCATCATTTTAAGTATTTTTTTTTTTATTTTATGGGATAGATTTGTTTTAAGATTGAAATTGTCAAAAGCACGAGCGACAAATTAAGGTAGGAGATTAACAGCTACATTTACATAGTAGGTAAGGTAAACCTAGTTAGCCAAGACAAATATCAGATCTTGGCATTATATCATGGAACCTTTTTGGTATCACTATGGTAAAGAGCTCAAAATAGGAAAAGAGAACAGACAGCCAAATAATTCCTTATGAGCCATATTCAGGAAAGTGCTATATTTCCCATAAAAAGTGACCAGAAATTTGCTACTCTGCAAGTATATCTTTAAGCTGAATTAGTTCTCATTTCAGTTTTTCACAGCAGTGAGAGTATGCATGAAGCAAACTGTCAGAATTTTAAGTTAGGACTTTTAGGGCAGGATCAGATCTTTCTAAATCCCCTATAGATTAAGACTCAGGTGACATTCACATTCCATAAAATAAGACAGTCCAACTGTTCCAAAGCTCCTTTAACAGACGCCTCATAATCTAATGTGAATGTTCCCTGGGTACTTTTGCTGCCTGCATGAGCACCAAAATGCCTAATTAAATGTGAGGCCATTCCTCCCACTGACAGCAGGCAATTCTAGGTTTGATCTTAGTCCTTTTCTGTAGGCAGAGTTGGTCCAAGATGATGGAGATGCTCTCCTTTTGAAACTGAAACTCTGTCCAAACAAGAAAGCAACTGCTATGGACAGGGAAAGCAGGACCTTAGTTTTCCTGGAAGAGAAGGAAAAATCTGCTGGGTCTTAAGCATTTCTGCTGCCTGTCCAAGCTAACTGTGCTCTCCATTGAGTGAGGCTGATGGTCCCCATTAAGTGAAGTTCTGTCCTTCTTGAAGTTTCTGTCAAGTAGGGCCTGAAATTAAGAGCACCCTACTTTCTCTGACAATGCCAAAAAGAGAGACATATCACCACCATATACCAGCCTTCAGAAGTGGAAGAGTCAGACTGAACCATAAGCTAATGTAAACACTCAACCTAAGCAGGCTGAACAGCTTTCTGGAGCTACAGACAGAGGAAGTGGAAAGAGATGAAGGGTGAYGGAATTGCCTGCCCCTAATCTCTTTCTGCAGAATTTGAAGGTTTGCTTTTTCATCATCAATCAAAAAGAAAATGTAAAGGTGTGTTTTAGGCAATCTGATTGTTTTATGGGGCAGAACACCTAGCATTTTAGCAAAACTATGCCCAAATGACGCACACTGGATTCCAGGGAGCAATTTGCAGGGCTGGTGAATTAACTCTGCTTCCACTATACTCCTGGGCTTGCTGGTAATGAACTATACACATGCTTGATGTTTAACAGACCTTGCCTCGTGCTAAATCTGAGACATATGGCAGCTATTACTGCAAGTGAGCAATGCATTTTTTCCCTGTCAGCAACTTGTAATACTAAAAGACAGCAAGTGGTTCATAAGGCACTCTCAGAAGTCCATATTATGGACACAACAATGGGTTGTTGTGGGCTTTATCTTTTAGCCCATCTACTCCTTTTCAAACAGGTGGGCCTTTCCAGTCTTATGAATGTATGCCATTTTGGTTAAGGAGTTGTTCCTATGCTCCATGGTCATTGATCTTCCTCTCTTTTGATTTTATTATTAAGAATACTCATTTTATACTGATTTCCAGGAGAAACATGGAGCAAAATTCCTGTATCTGCTTGAGACATGATTTTTAACTTTGGATCAAAGCAACAACTGCAACCCATGGTAGTAGCTTTCCAAAAGATCTTCATGGGCATCTCCATGATTTGTATTATAATAATTGTCGCCTGTCCTTTTAGTGTCATGCAAGTGTCTTGAATACTGTTACCTTTTAAAAGACTATTCATGATCTTAGGAGCAGTCTGATAGACCATTTGTCTTTGCTCAGCTTCCACTACTTAGAAAGAGGCTGATTTTGAAAAAAGAAATTCACTTAGTTACAWAAAACATTCACTTACTGAACATAAGGTCCTGGAAAGTGTCACAGGTTGGAAATCAGAAAGAAAAGCCTCCCAAACTATTAGTCATTTTTGAAAACTTTGGCTATGGTCTTTTATTAGTCTGTAAAACTTTTTCACCATATATTGAACCCTTTCAGTAATAAATAGTAACACCAAATGATGGAGAAATGCACAAAATATATACCTGAAGAAGAATTTGTGGGTAATCACAATGGTTTCATGGAAAGTAGTCCCTTCTGCAAAGAAGTCTGCTTGGGCACCCAAATAATCGCATGATCCTGCAGAGCTCTCTCCAAAACTTTTGGATGCATGCATGAATACATATTATAGCTATCATAACCTTTTCTTCCTGATTTTGGGATCCGTTCTCTCCATTTTTCCTTCCCCTTTTTTTATCAGAAGAAAGGAAAACATATTGTGTTTTAAAAATCTTATCACATGTTTTGCTGTTTTATTCTCTTAGTGAAAAACTGTATCTTTAAGTGCGATGGCAGCATCTGTGCTTGATCACAATCAAATACCTGCCCCCAAATCCTTAGAGGACGGATTATGACCCATTTCTGCCCTCGGCAAACAGGAATTCATACAAACAGTCCCACTGCCCATCACATGCTGGCCTGTATGTCTCTCTGATAGTGAYTTTTGTGAAAACAGCGTAACGAACATCTGTAAGTGATTACCAGGTTAAAGGGTAAATTCAGACCCCCATGAAGCATAAGTCAACCTTTCTTTCCTTATTAAAAGCGAAACATCTGGCAACTCGTTGTTAAGTGTGTCACAACAGGCRTCTGCCACTAGTGCTCTCTATTTTTAGCTTTTCAGTAGAGCAATCAGGAATGTCCCAACTCATTCTTTAATGGTGAACAGGTCTCAGTAACTCCATATCCTCTCCACTCACTCTGTGAAGACTTAGCACAAATGCAAACCAGATTTATGTTGCATTGGCTGTCCTYTTCAAGAATCATGGATACATTTTCCATGGTGATACCTCTTAAATCATTTGTAACTGCACACACAGTTGTATTTTAAAGTTCATGCAAAGGTGGTTTTAGCTTCATCCYACTGATTTGTGGTCTCAGCTGAAAAGATTTCTGTTCATTAATATGCAATACCAGATGTGCCAATGGTGGACAAAGGAAACATTTTAAGGGCTAGAAGATTAAAGAGATACTCCTAATGAAAAGGTTATAGTAGTATATTTAATTATTCTGCTTATAATTAGTCTATTAGCTTAAAGCTAAAACCTTTATTTTTAGATTTTGTAGGAAATTATTCTGAATGAAGTAAAAATCTTAAATTATGCAACATGGTATGTATTAAAGGATTAGTTTTATACATGAATTTTATGTCACATATTAAAAAATACTGATAATAAACTGCAAGTGATAATGAAGAGTCTGGAGTTCTAAATGGAGAGAAACACTTATGCACTTCTTTCATTTTTAAGCACATACTTAAGCCTTGTAAAATAATAGATAATAAGCATGTATTATTTTGGAAAAAAAAAAAAAAGGTAGTGCAAACATTACTTATTAACAAAAATGTTCATATTTAACATTAATCTTGTTAGTAGAAGCTGCAAATTTACTTACGGGTTGCTTTTCTTTCATACAAGACAACATGAAAGAGTGAGAAGTAAAATGAGGACTAGGAGGTTACTTACCTTCTTATCCTAATCTTAAATGTCTTTTGAGATATTCTAGGCAGCAAAGTGTTAAATAAGAAATAGGTAATTAGAGGTTTGTTATGAATTTAAAAACAGATTATATTAAACTTAAGATTAGTAAGATAACTAACCATAAAAGATATCAGGATATATTATATTTGTAGCATTTTACATTAGYCTTTTCCTTAAAACACTTGTGCATTGTCCTGGCTTTGAATGTGGCTAGTTTTCCTGAAACTAAGCTTTAAAGTTTGAATTAAAACCAAATCAAAACTCCAGAATATACTTAATGTGAGAAATATGTGTCTATGCCTTGGAGARCAAATTGATTGGAAAGAGTTTACTTTAAACCAGTGATAAAACAAGATAACTAACTAGTGCTTTAATAATTAAAAACAGAGCTCACTGCAGGAGGCACTGCAGAATATGACWTTTTTGTAGAAGAATATGTAAATTTCTCTCTGAACAGAAAAGGCATGCTTTAATCCTTGAAGAAAGGAAGATGGTTTTAAAAAATCCTTAGCAAATACTTTTGTTCCTTTCTTCTCCTAATCAAGAATTATATCTTTAAATGGCATGGCAACATCTGCATTTGATCAAAATCAAATAAAACATTTCTGCAGGAACAGATGGCACTGTTTTTAATTCTTTGTGGCCAATACAGGTATTATGAGGCTGAACTCTCATGCATGCAAGCTTTGTGTTTAAAGTATCATTTCATAAAAATTTTGAATAAAGGTACATTTTCTTAGACTGGTTTCATCTAGATCAGTCCCTCTCATCTGCTAAAGTCTAACAATCACATGCCTTCTGTGGCTACGTGATATTAAAGTCAATATTTCCTGTCTTTTCTTGCCTAGGTGCTGAGGTGCCTTAGTTATTTTAGGGGTTAAAAGTTGTAGTCACTGATGCGTATATATTAGGCTGTATTCATAGAACACGGCTTGTAGCCTGAGTCAAACTATTACAGTCTAACAACAGTGACCAATAGAAAGAGAAGAAGATCCAAGAAAGCTGAGGTAAGCCCAAACGCTGAAGCGATGTCAAATTGGGAACAATAGCTAATAAGGTGTGCATGGTCATACATCTGGGAATACCAGCAAGTACTTCAAGTTTTATATGCTATTAATTCTTAGGAGGGCAGGAAGCAAACACAGTGCTTAGCAGCCAAAGGCTATTTAAACTGCTATTTAAAGTGATTTCAAACAGGCTTCAGATAGCTCCAGAAGCTTGACTAACAAGGTAAACTGCTTTATTTTGCTTTTTAGAAAATATTATTAAGATTATGAATATTTGCACAGTGAGAAGGTACAGTTGCACTGTATAAATTAGTTGTGTTATTCTTTAGAAATCTTTTATTTGTCTTTTTATTTTTKGAATACTTCCAGATAGTTAGCAGTTTCTGAAGTGGGGAGATCTGTGGGATATTACACTTGCTGCTGCTAATAACAATTATGAAAAGTATCAAATAATTCTATATCATAAAGAGTAACTAACTGAGATGATAACACTACCGATATATTAAACTTATGAGAGAATCACCTTTTTATTTTAATTCATTTTTTTGCCAAAGCTAACATCCTAATTTTCACCAGAAATCCCAGTTGTCTGACTCCTGCCTCTGCATTGCAAAAAGCTTGCTAATCTTTACCAAAAAGCAGACAGGATAACACAGTYTGTGACATGCTGTACCTGTGCAACCCAAACGTTGTCTGTTGGAACAAATTATGAAGAATGGTGTTGTTCATTGTTTAATGATGGAAGAGGTTAAACAAAATAAATGAAAAAGTAAAATAGACACAAGAGTGTATATGATATAACTTGACATAGGACCTGTTCATTATGCAATTTATACTGAGCATTTATTTTGGCTCTTTGCTTTAACGGACAAAATTCATAACTTTGGATATGAGAGAGTGAACGAGGGAGGGGAAAGGATTATTCAAACAGTTTCCCTCCAAGCTTTGTAAGAACATGCCCAACAAACAGCTGTTAAAACATTCTTTGATCTTTTACTTTTCTGTGATGAGAAAAGACCCTGGAAAATTTGATCCAGATGCCATAATAATTTAGGAGATTGGAAAAATAAAAAGAAAATATAATTAATTTCAGAGAACACTAACTACAATGGAACTGATATCACTAGGATTTGATAGTTTTATTGCAGATGATACATTAGCTAGCTTATGCAAAATAGTTCCTTATAGGAAACTTAATGGAAACATACAATGGAAGCATTGACTTTCAGTCAGAAAATTATCAATGCTTTTAGGTCGTCTGAAATAACATCTGCATGAATATCAGCTTAATTGCTAGTCTATGCAAAATCTAAGTTGAAATGGGAATATATCATTCAAAATATAGCATTGCATCGGTTATGCCTCATACTACTGTTCATTTTTACCTTCACATAGGGAATGCCATAGAGTATAGAATTCAGCTGTATTTATAGGAAATATTTTATTGAATRTTGTACTGCTTTGTTAATCTAGTATGCTTTTAGAGTATTCTTTTGAGACACAGCTAATTGTTTTTCTCCCTTTCCAAGGAAAACAATGACTCTGAAAGTCTATCCAAAACTTTTACTGTTATTCTTGTTCAATTCTGTGTGGACTCGAACTGTGAGGCAAGTTTATGATGATCTGGATCCAGAGCATTGGTCTCACTACACTTTTGAGTGTCCAAAGGAGTGCTTTTGTCCTCCTAGTTTCCCAAATGCCTTATACTGTGATAACAAAGGACTTAAAGAAATACCTGCAATCCCAGCAAGAATTTGGTACCTTTATCTTCAAAACAACTTTATTGAAACAATTTCAGAGAAGCCTTTTGTGAATGCCTCTCATCTGAGATGGATAAATCTGAACAAGAATAAGATCACCAACAATGGGATTGAAAGTGGTGTGCTCAGCAAGCTTAAAAGGCTGCTTTACTTATTCCTCGAAGACAATGAGCTGGAAGAGGTGCCTGCACCATTACCAGGGGGCTTGGAACAACTAAGACTGGCTAGAAACAAGATCTCCAGAATCCCAGAGGGAGTCTTCAGCAACTTGGAAAACCTTACTATGCTAGATCTGCACCACAACAGTTTGTTGGACAGCGCTCTTCAAAGTGACACCTTCCAAGGACTCAACAATCTTATGCAACTCAACATAGCAAAAAATTCACTCAAAAAAATGCCTTTAAGMATTCCAGCTAATACACTGCAGCTGTTTTTAGACAACAACTCCATTGAAGTGATACCAGAGAACTATTTCAGTACTATACCCAAAGTGACTTTTCTAAGGCTGAACTACAATAAATTATCTGATGATGGTATTCCTCCAAATGGCTTTAATGTTTCATCTATTCTAGACCTACAGCTCTCTCACAACCAGCTCACTAAAATTCCACCTATTAATGCTCATCTTGAGCACCTTCACCTTGACCACAACAGAATCAAAAGTAAGTGCGTAACTGCCAGTGCAGGACCTCACCAAGATGTAATTCTTTTAAAATGTCTATTTAACTTCTTTGGCACTTCAAGACACTTCACTGCTGAAGAAGATTCTGCATTGTTCACGCTGAAGAACACCTAATTATATGCATATATATGTGTATATATATATATAAGCAAAGCAGATGATTCTCTCTGAAACAACTCATTCCTTTAATTTCCTAAGGAATACAAAATATTTTTAGACAAACCACATATATTTACATTAGAATGAAAATCAAATGAATTGAGAGAAAAATACTTATTCAATATAAGTAGATTAAAATGTGCCAGAGATGATAGAGAGATAAGAACGAGAACATCTGACCCCAGTTTTCATTCAAGGCCAATTTTCAAGGCAAGATATAAAGTATGCCCATGAGATATATGTATGGAAGTAATATCAGATGTGAAAAATGTGCATTTGTATATAGAAGAGATACTTAGCAAACAGAATATAAGTGGATTTAGGAGAATTAGTCCATTCATATTTCCATATAAAGATGCCAATAAACATTTTGGGRGAAGAGCAATAAAAATGTGGGTACAATAAGTTAGGATATTCAATATTGAATAAATTTAGGGTAAATTAGGATATTCAATATTCAATAGGTTAGTATATATCTACATCTGTATGCCTTAAATTTCCAAAATTTCTGAGCACCTTTAGCATTAAWCTAACAGAATTGCAGCGTGGCCATCTCTTCTGAACATCTCTTTATCCGGAAGGAAAAAAATATTGGCTGTGGTCAACACAACCTCCTTTGAATATGACTAAGTAGAAGCCCAAAATTTCAGGCTTCAATATCCTCCTCATTTTCAGTTGTTCCTTCCTAATGAAAAATCTTTTTGCTGACTTTACAAAAATTTTGTACTACTAAGGTTTTTCCTGCAAATGTCCATTATGATTTTCCACTTTGTCTAATTGAGAAGAAGTTTTGTCCCCAAAGGCAACAGATAATTGTTGCCATGTAATGGTTTGACTTGTAGCTTGGCTTCCAGCACTTGTTCAGGCATGCCTGGGATGTGGTGATTAGGCATTCTGTGTATAATTGCTTGCCCAGCAAATCCTACAGACCTTAAATTCTGCAGTTCACTAATCTGCAGTCAACTTTTGCCAGCCAGTAGCTACTTATCAAAAGCCAAAATCAGAGCGATAACTTTCTCATTATCACTAAACAGAAGATATTCCAGTCTCCACAAACCAATTATTGATATYAGGACCTAGAATGAATAGTGCAGCATATTTGTTTTCTTATCATAGTAAATTAACTGAATACAACTTATTTCTTATTCCTTATTTCTGTGTAGCACTATTGTATATCACAACTACAGAAAAAAGGAAAAGTTTAGTTTCTACATGAAAAAGATACCTATTAATAATTCMAGTTAATTCAGACTCTACTTAACAAATAAAATATATAACACCTAACAAAAAATCAATGTACAACAGGGTGCTACTTAAATGGTCTGCCAGAAGCCTAATAGTTTATTAGACATAGGGTTCAAAATGTGGCTCTCTGGGACAAAATTCATTGTCCACTGCTTACAAAAGGATTCATTTTAATCTCTTCTCTTCAGGGCCTCAGGTGCACACTTTATCTGTTGTCACATTAAATGGACACTAAATTGAAATCAATGGAATGCAATCAGTTCTGCTAAGAGTTGCCTTTTAGCTAAGTAGCAAACAAGTATTTAAACAGCAACCAAATGAACCGAATGAATTTAAAAAGTCAAAAACCTTTTAAAAGCATCTTATGTAGTACTTGTACATGAAAGTCCAAATTTCCACTGGCACACTAGTGCTCATGAGCCTACATCACATTAAGTYTCAATATGAATTATGTTCTTAAATGATTTCACTACTTTTCAAAATAGGACAAGCTTCACTTGCTTAAGCACTTTGATATTTTTTATTCAGTACTAAAAATAATGGCTATATTTAGTAAATGCATATAAAGTTATCAAGTGCATGCAATGTATAAAACAAATGTTATCACAGAAGCCTATTTTTTTGTTCAAGAGRTAAGAGATAATGCCATGTCCTCTACTAGAAACTGCCTTAACAGATAATATCTCAAGGCATCTTTGAGATCAAAGACAAAGAATGTAGTCAGACAAGATTAATAATATGTGGCATTGTTTTGCAGATTGGTTTATTTTTTTGTTGTTTCTTTTTTCGTTAATTCAGAAAGATGATGATTAGTCACCAGATTAAGGCAACCAATGTAAAGAATTTTAAAGAAAAAAACCAACAACTCCAAAAAGTCTGAATCTGGACACAAAAAGTCCACTTGAAAATTTTACTTTTATATGTGTATTTTTAYATAATACACAAAATTTTACTTTGTATATTATTAACTCTCTTTACAGTACTAATCCTCAGGCATTACCTGCAAGTTGCTATTTTATTTTCCCTTTGTGTTTCACAGTAGTTCACTTAAATATTTATTTGTAAATACCACTTGCCTACTTTTTTTTTTTTTTTTTAATTACATAGTACTGTATGACATCAGTCCCTCATGTAATTCCGTGGATTTTTTTTCTGCCAGAGATGATTTAGGAAAAAAAAGAACWATATCCTGAAGCCTAGGGAAAGCAATGAGAGTGCCAGGGAAACCAGAATTATAGAGGTGAAACCAGAATATTCAGGTGAAAACCTGTAGTCCCTTCACCAAGGCTCTCTCGTTTTCTCTTTTGATGATGTTGAGTGAGCAAAGATAAGCAAGTGATATTATAGCACTATCAATGGAGTGATAAAAGGGAGTGAAAATAACATTCTGTTCCCCCCTAAATACTGTCAGGAGACTAGAACAACCTCTTCAACCTAATATTGTTCCATGCAGCGAGAAAGGACTGAAAAAGAAAAGCCTGGTAGCAATGTTAGTCTATCAGAATTCATCATAGGATATTTCAAAGATAGTTGAAACTAAAGATGCCAACTTATTTTCCAAACCCTGGACTGTTACTGCTACTGGTTTCTTTGCTGAAAGAGCCTTGAAAGGTGTGAACTTTCAGGCTGATCCATGGCTGCTGCATGTAATTGATATCTTAAAAGTGATGGCAACTAGGAGTTACAAGTGTAGAACAGAAACACTCTTTCCCTCACCTTCMTTGGGCACTGCCACAACATATTTGAATTACCTATCCTAGTTTAGTGTCAAGTTTGAATTTGTCATAGAGACTCCCTACAAAGTCAATAGAAGGAGACACACAATGGGAGAGAGATAGGTATCTAAGGCAGTGAACACATCTTTTGGAGATGTCTGTCTCTTTCTAGTGTTTATAAAAAGGGTCTAAAAGGTCTAAAGAGTCTACTTTGATTGATTTTTCACAAGGATCAGTTTAGGTGAGAGGAATTGTACCCATGTAGGTGGATTGCCTTTTCAGCATTTGTGAGAAAGGGGTTCCTGTCACTAGGTAAGGACTATTCTAGTTGCCTTTGAGAATTCTTAGTACTTGAGGTAGTCAAGTAATCCAAAGAGATCAGAGTAGTGGTTTCTTCAGGGTTGAAAGCTTGAGMTCAGAGGTCTGCCAAAAGGAGAAAAGGAGCATTTTGCCCTGCCTATCTCCCTTCCTTATCTCCTGGCAAAAATCAATGGCATTATATGCATGATCAGGAAGGCAATAGGAGAGGGAAATGCTTTTATCCCTCTTAYAGTTTGGTTGGGATTTATTGTTCATGGAAAGAGGGTTGTAAAAGTCAACCATTTCATACCATTCATATCATCAGGAAATCACTTCTTCACAGGTGGTCTGTGGKTACATAACTGCTTCCTCACATTAAGGTTGGAGCAATTGACTGTATAAGATTAGTAAAGTAGATAGTCTCTAGATCAGTCCAGAAATCACCATCTTTTAAGTACAGCAGTGCTTTTTGAAATCCAGCATGACCTGAAAAATCATTTTCTACTTGACAGTATTAATTTACTATCACTATCTTTTAATAATTGCTTAATAATGAAAAGTCTCAAGCCTCTTGCTTCACATCTTCACACATAAAAATAAATTGTAGCTTGTTTCTTCTGGAAATATCAACTGCTTTATAAACATTCAACAAACTACATAGGCAAAAACAACATAGGGAAAGAGGTGAAGATGATAGTTATGACAGATGCTTTAAGCTTTGGCTCACTGGACATATTTTCTAGTTTCCATGACAAAAAAACAAAGTCTGTTTCCAAGACACTACGAAGTTTTGGACAGTTCTATTCAGAAATTTTTCTCTTTGGGGAAAAAAGAAGAGAAAAAGATAAAATTAGTATTTTTTTTTTGTTTCCATCATTTTTTTAATCACAGGTTTATTTTATTTTATTTTATTTTATTTTATTTTATTTTATTTTATTTTATTTTATTTTATTTTATTTTATTTTATTTTATTTTTTGTACGGTAAACTGAAGACGTGTTACATATTTCTCTTCTATGGCTAGGGAGAAAAATTGTTTGGGAGAAAAGTTGTGGTAAGAAAGCTTTGAATATGATTGTCTCTTCTTTTGGTAGTTTGGGCTGCTCAAAGAACATTTGTTCAATTCTCAATCCACAGTTTTTGTAGGTGGTCTGGGGCCAGCAAGATTCTCAAGCAGTCAATCCTATTACTAAATACTATAAATTAGTCCAATGATTTTGACATCTTTGATAAATAAACACTACTTTAGTGATTTATGGAATAAGGCCATTTTGAGGCRGAAAAAGAGCAGGCTCATTATTCAACAGCTGAAGACAGGAAGTGAAAAGTATTTTTTTCAAGTAAAACTGCAGAGATAGTTTATAAGGGACAACACAAAGAAGTTAACATCTTCAGCTCTTATGAAAGTGGGCAATGAATTAAGCCATAGTTTCAATTTTTATCTAAACTAAAACAAAATATGCATTATTTATAAACAATTTTAAATACTTGATGCCTTTCATACTAGGAAGAAAAATATCCCATAAATTATATTCATGCAATTAAAATGAACTGTACTGTTGAAACTGAGAGAACAGGAAATCATATCTATTAAAATTTGCAGACTGCCTGCATTATACTGCAGTATAAACAGTACTTCCAATTCAACTGTTAAGTTTTGAATGTCAGATCCTCACTGCAAAACAGTATCTGCTAAAATTAATGGACTATCATTGAAGTAAGATTTTCAAAATAACTCAGCATTAAACATTTTCTGCTCTCTCTGAGGTCAGAGAGCTATGTCTCAGTGAATAATTACCCTTGTAATTATCTAGGCCGGATTTCTCTTTGTCCAAAAGAAAACATCTAGTGCATCTAGTCACTCTTTAGTCTTTGTTTCAGCACATTAAATATGTGGCCGATACTGATCAAATTACTTTAATATATTGTTTTTTAAGAAAAAAATGATAAATTGTTAATTCAGCATTTCTCAACATATCCAAGAGAAAGAGAAAACATCCCCAAAAATATTTCAATGTCTTTTATTTTCATATGCGTTTCTCTTAAAAATTAACTAAGATGTCTGATCCAACTTTTGCAGGTGTCAATGGTACTCAGATATGCCCTGTCTCAATTGCCGTAGCAGAAGACTATGGTTTTTATGGTAACATYCCCCGCCTCCGCTATCTTCGCCTGGATGGAAATGAAATTAAGCCTCCAATCCCACTGGACATCATGATATGTTTCCAACTACTTCAAGCGGTTGTCATATAAAGATACCGTAGTGTCACTGTTGTGCTGTAAGAGTGTTAAGATGCAAGTTTTGCTGGAATGAAGCTTGTTCTGAMTTAATCAAGAAATAATAGGTTTCTGCTAACTAGTTCTCTTTCCTTACACCTCTTTTTTTTTTACAGCTGCAAAGATTGTTGTTCTTTTAGAACAGACATCAAAGATCTCTCAGCATAAAACCTGCTTAATTCTCTGCTTGAGAATTCCTAATGCTTAAGACTTTCTAAYTTCCTAATATTTAAAATCGTCTGATATAAGATCCCAAATATTCCAAAGCAAGTTTGTACCTACTCTGTCTTTCTTATCAATTCTAGAATGTCTATCCCTATCACACTGCAACTAATATAAGGAATTAGGGTACACTTGTCTAAATATATATATGCTAGGAAAATCATGTATTATATGACCATGAATTAACAGAACTGACACTGTTTTTTCTCAAGATAGTCAATGTCTAACARCGAACAGCCACTTAACATGTAAATAACTCATAAATTGCTGTTATCCTTTGAGAAGAGAATATATATTGATGCTTTTAAGACATTAAGTATATAAGACTCAGGGTCCAAAGCAGTGTACTGGATATATACTGCTAAATGGATTAATTCAGTATAATATGACAAAATTGACAAGAGAATAAGAGATAAAATCTTGCACTGTCACAGTCAATGCTAATTTTTTCTTGATTTGTTTTTCAGTATTCTGTTTCTAATTCATGTAACACCCAATTTTAAGAAGTCCATTTATTTATAGTATACCACATTCACAATTCAGAAAAACAGAAATAACAGCAGGGTTCCTTTTTTACAGAATCTGTTTTCTTTCTTTCTTTCTTTCTTTCTTTCTTTCTTTCTTTCTTTCTTTCTTTCTTTCTTTCTTTCTTTCTTTTTTTAAAGAAAAGACAAAGTTTTCAATATACAACTTGAGTCAGGTCTTCACTGGGAAAGTATGACATTTTTGATATTTCTGATTGCCAGCATAACAGACTATTCATCAGTCCTATTTAGTCTCTTTTTATTTGTAGATAGAATCAAATAACTGCTCTTCAATGGCTTGCATCTATTTCTAACATTTTAAGAATGGTCTCAGTAACAAGAATTTGCATGTGTTATACTTTTTGTTTGAAGATGAAATATTTTCTTAAAAGTAGATCTTTAAAAGTACTGAGAACAGCAATTTCTAATATTCAGAGCGTGTTTATTTGAAAAATCAATGTTATTCTACTCCACTGCACTCGTGAAAATAACTCATTATGGAAACCCTGTGTAGAAATAAAAATTTCAGAGGTCCTATCAACCAAAGATTTATTTTTGCAGTTCATTTTATGCAGTTGCTGTAGAAACATGCCATCCCCGCAAACTATTTTCTGTATCCATGCTGTAACTCTGTATGAATAAATCAGAAGATTTTTTTAAAGTTTCTACAGTACCTATGCATGTTTACCTATGCTCTTTACTTTAGCAATAGTAATTTATTTTTTGAACAATTTTATTTCACAATATTAACAATTAAATTAATACAATGAAAATCTTATTGGACTTGGAAATTAATACTACAACAAGCAAACAAAGGTACATCTCCTAAGAGTTTCCAACAGCTTTTCTGGTAATCAAGATACTTGATTGTAGAGCAGTTCTTCAGTGTTCAGTATTATCTTGTGCTTTGGACACATGCAGATACTGATCCTAAGGGCTCGCCCCTTTCAAATCCTGTTAATCTTAGCAAAGATAAAAAGTCATGATATAGCCTTGAAAACACTATTGCAATGAAGAGTTGCTGCTGCCAGACACTTTATGTCGCATACCTTTGACGCAACCAGATGACTGTACATCTGAGAGATAATTCAAGAATATTCTTTTAGATTAATTTGTCCCATCTTGATTCCATTTCTCAGAATTAGCAGTGGTGTGCAGTTAAAAGTAATTATGTTTCTATACTGACCTCACAAGCTAGATTAACTCTGGCTGGGCGGTGAGCAATTTTACTGGCTTTATGCCTTTATCTCTACTTTATCTCTTTATGCCTTTATCTCTACTTATAAAATTGTGACTGTTCTCAATATTCTGGGAAAATCAGTGAAATTTTCTTCAGATTACAATAGCAGGTATAAGTCCCGTTATTTTTCAGTCATAAGATTAAAATTACCCTCAAACTTTCTGCAATCACAGAAAAATTGTACAGTAAAAAAGAAAGAGCATGCAGAACTCAACTTTGTCAGCTTTTGGCCATACCTCATCCAATGCATTTGTCATGCCAGAAGACTATGAAGGAAGAAATAAAACATGATGTCAGTTTCACTATGAAGAAGATTACTAAAGCAATGTGAAAAGTATCACTATGCTTAAAATTCTGGTGTTCATTCCTCCTAGATAGTGATTTGCCTTAGTCTCCCCACTGATGTTTTCTAATTCATGCGAAAATTGTAGTCTCCTCCACTGCAAGCAGAGGAAAGGACTTTTCAGACTTCGTCCAGTTTAAACTCATAGTCACTTTAGGAAAGCTGTTTCATTTGTTTCAATAGTATGTATGTAAACAAATATACAATAGCATGTACACAGACAAATTTACAAAAAGTGTAAGATGCCCAGGACAAAGTAGGAGTCAGGTGGAATAGGAGCCCATGGTGACTGTCAATCACTAACCAAACTTCACGAAGACCTAGTACTTTGCCAGAAGTGCATTAATAGATACGAGCTAATTTTAAAATTACTGCAACTAACACAGATGTCCTATCACCTTGGCCCAGAGTAGAGAGAATGGCTTTGTAAAGAGAGACATTAAATAAAAGTTAGAGGCTCAAGAATGGAGAAGCACCCAGCCATTTCCAATAGAAGGCCAATCTGCCAACTTAATCAGAGGCTGCATATGGCATCTAACAAAATACRGTATGGTTTTATAGCTCAGCTGGTTCTGCAGGAAGAAAAGTCCTTTTTAGAAGCTGCCAGTATAGTTWAAAAAAATTTAGCCTTATGCATGAGTCACTGTGCTCCATACTCTCCCTAGATATTTTGTTCTCCTTGCTTAATATTCCAAGTAGGTTGCTACAAACACCACAGCTGGGATGAAAATTTAATGTCATCCTAATGACCACAACAGCTTGTATGATGCTTGAAGGAAGAAATATAAACYCTTAAGAGGTAAAAATTCAAAAGAKGCACCGGTAAGCCAATCTGTCTGTTCACGATTGCTAATGCCAAGACATATCCTGTCTCATTGAAGGAGTTTTTATCCATCCTATTCATTTTTGCTGCATCTAAATTTATGCAAATATTTGCCATAGACAGTCTTCCAGACTGTGAAGAATACTTATCATTGCTGATATTATATTGCAGATATTATGATTATGCATCTGGAGACAGACTAGGTATTACAAAAATAAAATTGCAATATTGGTCACTGAACAGCTAATATCCCACTTCTGCAATGTGCAGCAGAGATTCTCAGAGATTTTAAGTTGGCTAGTAAAYATCCTCCTCCTGCCTCAAGATCTGCTCCATAATTGCATTTTTCTTCCAGATTTGCTTGCACTTTGAGAAAAAAGGGTAGGTCTACAGGGCACCACATTGTCTGTATAACGATACCCAAAGGAGTACTAACCACCTCAGGTCAAGTATCTGAAGCAATATAGCCCTCTTCCGTCATACTCTGCCTTAGCTAATTTACCTCTTCCTCATTAGTGTAGTTAATATCGCTTCTGGGTCCTATKCTTGGTCTGCCAGAGCTAGTTCAAACATCTCTATACTGTAATGAACATGAAGCCTTCCCAAAAGAGCTTTGTTTCTCACGTTCTTCGCACTGTTGCCAGTAGCCTGGGTATTCTCTTTACTGATTTTGCCTTGATTCTCTAGTACATGCATTTGACTGTCCCATCTGCTTCTTGCTCAGCCTGATTTGGCTTTGTTCCTTCAGTTCTTTTCAGCTGAAGCAAGTTTATTCATGCTACATTAATAGCTGCTCTGATTTCATCTGTTTCCYGGCAGTTTGGCTGCATGTGCTTTTCTCCAGGGGAAGCGCTTTGCTGTCTGCAGCACACGTAGCACAGCAGAACAGCCTGGCCTGCTGCTCAGGCAGCACTCACACCTCCTATGCATGTGCACACATATATTTGGAAATGTCTTTTCTAAGGCTTTTTTTTTTTTTCCACCTCTCTAGTCTCTTTACAGGAATCACATGTTCCACAAACAAAAGCTGCTCCTAATTAGGGACTGGTGCATTGAAAGTTACATGTGGATAGCAGTGTGCAGCAAAGCCAGGCTTTTTCAGCAAAACATTTATTCATGAAAATACTCTATTACACTTGTCCTGCATTATTGGTGAATTCAGACAAAATTAGGCAAACAGTTTCATCCATGGGAAGAAAAAAAAATTATCTGTAGTTCTTATTTTAAAATCCTGTTTTTAGGTTGTTACTGCAGCATGATATGCCTTTCTAAAGGTAAKGAAATCCTGAAATTTGTCTAAATCTATCCTCATTACTGAAAGTCTAGTCTCAAGAAGGGTAGTCTCCTTTAAAACATAATTTGAGGTTTATTTTCCATTTCAACATAAAGTAGATTAAAATATTTAGTTCTTTGTCAAATCAACATTCATATCTTTATATTGTTTTGGCCATCTGACAAACAGGCAGAAAAGTCAATTTTCTCTTCTCTAGTCCAGATTTTCCATTGTTATTTTATTTTTATTTTTTACAGTTTCATCTTTTTAGGATCATATAACAGGATCATCTGCCCACTTCTTATCATCCCCTCTTAAATTATTAACAAGACTTGTGCCTAGGTTTTCTTACTGTTGTTTTCACAGTCACTGCATATAAAGCTGTTTTTCTCTGCTGTTCCAACTCTCTCTGTTACCAATGTTTATTTAAGTTGTTTCTTCAAGAAATGGAGCTCTCAAGCCTATCTGTAGCGTCTACTTTTCCAAAGTTGAGGCCTTGTCTTACTTTTCTATTAAACACCACTTCTTTCTTGCTATGGACTGCCCATTGC